TATGGGGTGGAAGGGTCACTGGAACCAGTGTTCCAACCATCTTTCCTTGCTTACATCCTCACTCAGTACAAATTCCATGATCAATTATTAAAACCACTCCCTACCTTGTCTTCTCTCTCTTCATTGTACTCACTTGGCAAAACCCCAACCCTCGTTCAATGTACCCTTCTGCTCTCCTGGGCTGTACCTGCACACTGAGCATAATACAACAGAGCTGACTGATCTCATGTTAAATTCATGGATGAGAAGCCCGGCTGGGTTGTTAGTGCTCTCTGCCCATCATACTACATTTTCTTAGGCCAGGGTGGATCTAACCCCAGGGGACATCAGGCAATGGCTGGAGACACTTTTGGACATCACACCTGGGGCAGGAGGGGAAGGATACCACTATTACCTAGTGGCTAGAGGCCTGGGATGCACAGAACACTTTACAATGCCTGGGTCAGTCTCCTGAGACAGAACTACCCAGCCCCAAGTGTCCCTTGGGGCTCCGGTTGAGAAATCCTGTCCTAGCGGTATCATTGTCCACTGTTACACAAGTATTTAATATCTTCCCTGTCTGCAAACCTGCAAGACCTATCCCCTAACCCTTGCCCTAAGGTGATGGTCTCACTTTCCTAATTTCTGAAAAAAATAAAGTTAGAAGAGAGTCTCCGTAAGTGCCGGTGGCCGCTGTCCTCTGCCCCCCAGCACCTTGCCCACAGAAGCCCCTTCCTTCCCGGTACTGTGTCCACGCGCCTCAGCCACACTCTGCACGAGCACTAGCCGCATGTGCTCTCTTTAATACTTTGACAGTAACGTCTCCCTACTTACCCTGTGTTATCAGTTTTCCTTTTACTGAATCATTTCATCAGTCTGCAAATGTGCTATTATTTTATTACTTCTCTCTCCTTTAAATAAGCTCTTTCTTGACAACATGCCCCCTCCCACCTACTGCCTGTTCCTCTGCCCCCTTTTAGCAAAACTTTGTGAAAAGCAGGCTACACAAGCTGACTCCAACTCCCATTCTCCAATTTTCTACTAAATTTGTTATAATTAGGCGTTTGGCCCCTCGCTCCTCTACACTTTGCTAAACTCCAACGGTCAATTCCCAGTCCTTCTCTCACTTAACCTATGAGCAACATTTGAAGAAGGCGATTCCCCTCCTCACCCCAACACACTCCTTGTGGCCTTCAGGATGCCACGCCGTCCCGATTTTCCCCGTCTCCCAGTTCTCTCCTTCTCAGTATCCTTTTCTTAACATTCTCCTCTCCCCGGCCACGTAAGGTTAAAGTGCTTCAGGGCACAACCCGGGGACCCCTTCTCTGCCTTCACTCACTCCACCGATGACCACTGTGACTAGTCACACATGGCTTTAAAGGCCATTTAAAATCTAACAACCACCACAGTTATTTCTCCAGTCTGGGCTGCTCCTCAGAGCCTCAGGTCCACATACACAGACTGTCGACTTGATGTACTTATTCATTTAGGTGTCTGTTAGAGACCTCGTCCACATAACACGTCCATATCTGTGCTGCTCCTCTTCCTCCTGAAGCCGGCTTTCATGCTGGACTTCCCAACTTCGCTAATAGTAATTTTATTTTTCCAGTTTCCGTGGCAAAATACCACGGAGCTATGCTCTTCATTCCTCTCTCAGTACGACAGTTGAAATGATCCTTTTAAAATACGTCAGCTATTGCAACCCTTCTCCAAACCTTTCCAGCAGATCCAAATTACCCCCAGGAAAGGCCCTCTATGACCTCCAGCTCCACTGCTCTCCCCTAAGACTCTGTTCTCACTCACAATGGCTTCTTTGGCGCTCTTCACATTTACGAGCCTTTGCCTGCAATGCTTTCCCCCACACAGCCACGAGGTGCATGCCTCACCCCCCTCTAGGTTGCCCTTTTTAAAACTGCAACCTCCTCCCCGATAGCATGCTCTGTTTACGGGCTTTATTATCCTCCACACGGTGCCTTCTAACATTCACTACCAACTTACCTAACTCCCTTCACTAAAATATACAGCTGGGGTGAAAAGAAAGTTTTGCCGGTTTCGTTTGCTTTATCTGGAACAGTGTAGGGATTCGATAAATAACCCATGAACAAATGAACGAATGTATGAGGCATACTGAAACGCATTATTAACCAAGTCCTAAAATAACTACATAAGAAAATGGCCAAAAGAGGAGAAGTGATGTGTCAAAACATCATCGTTAATTATTGGCAGAATGTACTAGAACTGGTTTTCCTGATCCAGTCACTTTATGGCCAAAGTCATTGAACTACCTTTGTTTGACTTACAAACCATCCTTCTCCTCTATTTATTTTATGCTTAAGAAAAAGACATATATATGGACATATCTTTATGAGAAATGGAGTGGAAATGGAGGTATGGGAAGGGGACTAATAGGCTGTGTATTTAAAAAGTACACACACACACACACACACACACACACACACACGAATACATTATTTGTGTATCACCTTCAAGGATTACACAAAGACCTGGTATGGTAATCCACTTAACTAACTAACTTGGCATTTGACAACGTCCAGGTCACTGGTAACTAAGGGAGCTTTTTTGTGACAACTGTACTACGTTCTCTCCCACCCCACCCCCTCCCCCACCCCCTTCAGGGAGAGTATTTTAGAAAGAGTATCCCTGGGAAATAAGCAAAAGTGTAGAATAACTCATGTAGTGTTATTTCAGTCTCATTTTTAAAAATTCTTCTCAAGTACTTAGGAAACTTTTTGAAGAAGTCATCAAAAGAAAATAGGAGAAAAGAATGGAAGGAGGGAGGGAGAAAGGGAGGGAAGGAGAACGAGGAGGCCAGAGAGGGAGAGGACCTGTTACTGATTGCCACGGCTAAGTGATACACTACAGGCATTTCATCTGTTAACTCTTTTAAATCACTACATCCCACTGCCACACAGCGTATGGGTACATCTGAAAAGAACAAGAGAGAAAGTATCACTTCACTAAAAGATTTCTTTTCTTATCTACTGACATAGCCACTGCACGGTCATCTGCCAGCCACAACATAATCATATTCTGGGAGCACAAAAACCTCTTGCAATGTGCTCCTGGCTTTTGGTTTCCATCCGCAATGTTCCAGTACACAACAAACCAGACTAACTCTACACCTCTTTCTAAAATAACGCTTTTGATTACAAAAGATTAAACTCAAATAATAAGGTCTAACATTTCAAAGGAAATGGAAGAAATACAAAACAACTAAAGCACTGATATTCTTCAGAAGGGAAGAGAGGGAAACCTTTCTGAATCTTGCAGTAAACAATCTGAGAAGCTTGCATGACTCAGCTCCAAGCAGACGGTCTGAACAGGCAACCGGAGCGATGCTTCAGCAGAAGGAGTTTGGCTCTTGCTCCTTGTTACATTTCAAAGACAGCGTGTCGACTTTTTTCCTTGTTTGTGGCTATTTGGTAACATTTTTATGAGTATTCACTGTATAGTTCTTTCCATTTTATTTTTATCACATGTCTCGGCAGTAAGCAGAAAATCTAGATGTACAGGCAGGCACCTTCTGGGAGAAACCCGTTATCAGTGACGCGTACATCCGGTTCGGAAGGCCGCTGAGAAGTGCCAACGTCCACTCAGAAAGGAAAATGCTCTCCAAAAGTGCTCAGGAACAGCACCAAAAATACTTGTTTTATAAAAAAAAAATGTATTTATTTAATGTCAAACTATACTTCTGAGGTATCTCTAAAAGAAACTTTATCTAAGTAAACACAAAACTTTACTATTTTAAGGAAACAAGCACATGTGTTAATTTGCGGAGAGATACTGTGTTTTATACACCAATGTCACTCTTTCACTTATGAAAAACAGGCTTGAAGATCATGAGACACAATTATCAGGAGAGTTCTCTATCTCTAAAGTATTCTAACTATGCCTCTCTCCCATTAGGTTATTCTCAGTTTCTTAGACGAGAACAAAGAACAAACTGTCCCAATCCGCGGACTGTCCACACAGGGCTAGATGCTGCTGAACTCTGACCCCAGGCCTGGAAAGAGGGCCAGTGTCAAAGATGACTACACCGACTGATCAAAACACTTGTGGTAAGAACGAAGAAAGAACAGCAACTTCCAACAGGAAACCTTTTTCCATGGGGAAATCAATGAAAACATTTACAGAACTTTCTCATCACAAAAGAATGTCTTTAGTGTCTGAAAGGATATAAACATCTTTAAAAAATATACACATATATATTTTTTTAATTTAGTAGCATATGTTTACACACACACATTGACATACACACAGTGTCACACACGCAGTAGTTTTGCTGCATTGTTTTTCCAAAAGTTCATTTTTCCATTAGTTTTTGTTTTTGATAAGGTGAATATATAGATAAGAAAGTGATTTTAAATTGGCTACCTCTTGGGAGAGAGTAATCTACAGGGCAGGCTTATGCTTCGTGCATTTAACCAGAATTTTTAGAATTAAACAGTAATAGTTTCAGCATTCTCTTTAGTTCTATTTTCATTTATCTAAAATGAACGCAACTGAACAGATGTGGCTAGGATTAACTGAGTTGAGAAAAACAGTAGGATAACATGACAGCGAAAAACTCAATCATTTGGTTTTCAACTTGAACCTTAAGCATTAAATCTCACCTATAAAGTTAATAGTTCAATACACGTAACCAGATGTCAGATGAGATTTGTATGAAGACAAATCTAGGAGACATTCCTTTTCCACTGGTACATAAGGTATAGAAACAAAGGGAATAGGTCTACAGCAAAAGTGTGTTTATGGAGAAAAGAACCCAAGACTGAGCACCAGGAGAGGTCATCTTGAATAAATGATACCCTTCTCTCTCTCTCTCTCTCTCTCTCACACACACACACACACACACACGCTCTCTCTCTCTCTCTTTCTATTCTTTTATCACAGTGAGGAAATATCTTCCTGGCTCTAGTTTTCCAAGAATTTATATATATTAAGTATAGGTAAAACAAAGTAATTTTGTAATATTTAAAAAAACTTAAAGATTAAAAAAAAACCGTGTCACTGAGTGCTAACTCAAGTATGCCCTTTACACACTAAACTTCAAAGACTTGTTTCAATATTGCACGTCTGGAACCCACTGTCACAATACACACAGGACTCTGACCCAACCAGGCCGTCGAAAGCTCGGTCACTGGTGTGGCGAGTGCTGTGATTTAAAAATCAAACAGACCAGCTATACACGATAAGGTAAAAAAATAAAAATTATTCTAGAGTCATCTTCAGTTGTCAAATCATCTCCACTGCTGTTCCCAGTACTAAAAAGGATAATCCAAAGCTAGCCATAGTGTCTTGTCTTTTTGTTTATTCAAATCTCATCTTCATAGAAACCATTCATATAAAAATCCAGTTTAAATTTATAAAATAATAAAGTTGAAATCTAAATTACTGGGTTGTAACACGGCTCTAGTAGCACTCAGTTGTCTTTAACTTCATTCAAAGCAATTTTGTTAGAATGTACTGTGACAGCTGTCGTATCAGCCTTCACTTAAAAAAATCAAAATTGGTGAATTTTTGTGCAGCCATTTTATACTGACAATGGAAGAAAGTAAGCAACATCCTTGGCATATTATGCTTTATCATTTCGATAAAGGTAAAAATGCAATTGAAACACAAAAAAAGATGTGTGCAGTATATGGAGAAGGTGCTGGGACTAATCAAATGTGTCAAAAGTGGTTTGTGAAGTTTTGTGCTGATTTCTCGCTGGACAATGCTCCATGGTCAGGTAGACCAATTGAAGTTGATAGCAATCAAATCGAGAGATTAATGAGAAAAATCAATGTTATACCACATGGGAGACAGCCAAAATTCTCAAAATATCCAAATTAATAAAGTTACTGGTGAAAACAAAATACATATCTTTTATTTTACACACACACACACACACACACACACACACACACACACAAAGAAAAGAAAGAAAAAACACTAAACAGACTTTTTGGCCAAGCCAATACATAAAATCTGAATTTGGAGAGCAAATCTGAAACTCTTATTGGGCGAACGATCATATTAAGTTAGTGTCCTAGTGTGTGTATAGCTGTGAGAACAGCAAGCGTGAGGAAGAGGAGCAGTAAAACTCTGAGGAGACATCAGCAACTATTTACTGACTGCTTATGATGTGCCACATTGGTCAAAATCAGCACTTTTCAACCTCAGCACCACTGACATTTTAGGTGGGATAATCCTGTTGGGGGCTGGGGAGTGTTCTGTTCATTGTAAGACACTGCTGAACCTCCCTGAACTCTATCGATTGTGTTAGATGCCAGTAGCATCTACCTGATTACGATCAAACTATGTCTCCAGACAATACCAAATGTCCTTGGGGGAAGAGAGGTAAAACCACCCTGACCGAGAACAACTGATCTAAATGCATTATCTTTGAATCTCCACAACCATCCTGGGACACAGAAACCACTATCCCCCCCCCTTTTCGGACACTACAGTAGAGAGGATTATTACATTGTTAAAGGTCCCACAGCCAGTTAGCGATGTGTCGCTCTGCACACTCAAGTATGTCTAGCTCCAGAGTCCTCACTCAGCTGCCACAATGTGCTGGGATATGTGCAGAAATACACACACTGGAGAACAGAGAAAACTTCCTGTTTCCCAGAATTACTTGGAGGATAAAAAGTAGGTGGTCTTTGCACTCTATGCAACTATAAAGGACTATTGTTCATATTTAATAATAGTAGCAGCAAAACCGATAATAAACAATATTTTACTTGTTCTTCAAATTAGCAGTGCTTATAATTTGAAGAACAAACTGTGATTTTTTTTTTTTGGCGGGGCGGAGGGTGCTCTTTGCCTCCCTGGGAAACTTACGGTCCACAGGAAGTTGTTTGTGTCTCTGGCTATCTCTCACAATACTGCCACCACTGTCGCTGGAGCTGCTGTTCTGACGGGTAACGTTGGCCGGGACCTTTGACAAGGGAGCAGGCGCTGGAGTAGTCGGTGGAAGGGGCACAGGAACAGGAATCGGTGTTGGAGGAGGGGATGGAGCAGAGGGAGGGTCAGCCGGTCTCGGACCATACTCCATCCTTTGTTTCTATAAAAAGAGAAACAATTCATTTAAAACTGGAAAACTATAAACCTGCTCTGGGAAAACAAATTGTACTGTGACAGTACACTTTTAGCTCTTTATCTGTAAACCTACTGGCAATCCACAGCAAATTTATGTGTGTATGTGCACGCACACACACCCCTCCAATTCCACACAGTATAACAATCACTAAAAATCAAGTTTTAAATATTCTATGTATTTGTTCAAAAGCAAAGTGTAAGTTAATGAGTAAAAAGGATATACCAATAGCAAACAGTAGTGTTGATAACAGTAGCAAAAGTCAAGAAAACTGAATTTGAACTTGGAATCACACACAACCAAAGTAAGTCAGAAGATTTCTGATTATTTTATAATTTCCATGAAAAAAAACTTCTAATTGCACTGAAAGTCTAAATATCAGTATCATTAAGCATTACTTATTCCTTACTTTAAATGTATGATACATTGAAAAATGTTTACTATTGTTTTCTAAGCAATGTGTTCAGAAGAAAGGCAGTATTTCAGCTGATGAAAAGACTTTGCTTTACAGTAAACAAGTAATTTTAAAATGTTGTTAACTTATTCAAGTCGTAATCCTTTGTGCCATCCTCCTAATGCTAACGTATGAACATCAGATATTTCCTTTTTAAAGTGGGAATGCTGTGGATGGATAGTGATGAGGGTAATGAATGGTATGGTCTACGTAAAAAATGGCGACTAAAACTCAAAAACATATATTAGAAAAAGGCTGCGTGGGGATTTGTGTTAAAAAATGTGGATATGATAGAATACACAATAATGTTCAGTTATTTAATAAAATTATTATGACATTATAAAACAGTATTTATGCATATTCCCTCTTAAACCACACACAAAAAAGTTAAAACTTTAAACAAAATAATTTAAAGTAATAGAAAACTACATTATAACAAGTTCCAAATTCTCAAAAGGCACTTTTTTTTTTTTTTTTGGTAACATCACAGATACAGAGCAATGGACTTATAATTTGAGTAAAGTTTAGATTCTGCACTCGCACAATTTTAGTTATTCTAAATCTAGAATTAGCAAATAAAATGCAAAAAGGCCTTTTGTTAATCTGGTCCTTTGGTTAGAACAGTACTATTTATTTTTAATTTCTAAATTGGCCCAAATATAAGATAATGGTGATTTTAAATGAGGCCTCCCCAATTTCCACAGAGATCAAAAACATAAACGCCACACACAAATGCCACTTTTAATTAAATCACTGCTCAAAAAACAACACACCAACCATCACCACAGTCGCCTTCACAGCAAATGAGTAACACCTGTGGAAACCAGCGTGCACAGCATCTGGGTTCTTTTCTGCTGTGTCTTTAAAGCTACCACTCACCAGACAGTGGCTGGAGAAGGTGGGAGGGGGATAAAGCAACAATGAAAGCAGGACCAAGAGAAGTGTTTATAATGTTGCTAGGTTTTGGAACGGAGAGAGAGGCAGTGGGGGGACGGAAGGGACAGGGGATTGAGGTTCATGGAGCACAAGCAATGGAGCCGGATGGGAGAGAAGCAGAAATTGCGGACCCCTCACCACTCAAGGCCCAGAAAGATTCTAATATATTAAATAAAAGTTTATTAGCATGATTACTTCCCATGAAACGGTGTTCCTATATTTGGGCCAATAAAATACTTAAAGCAATCAAAATACAGCAAACACCACCACAACGTAATACTTAGCACACACCAAAGTCATCTGATTAAAATATATGCAATGTTCCTCGACAGGAATGTCTTTTGCACATAATTACATGAAGGGTTTGTGAATTCTCACAACAGGATTTTTAAAATGTCAGAGTTTTAATTGCTGTTTTTAAAGCTTAAACTAACAACAAAAAAAATGTGACCAGCTCTGCACTGCATGATGACATTCATACCTTGTGCTTTCATGAAAACAACAGCAATTCGTGTTTTGCTATCCATCAAACAATACTGTGAAAAACTGAACGCACTGTTTCTTACTGTCACAATGAGGCCTGCAGACAGGCTGCCCAGATGTGCGGGGCCTCCTTTCATTCTCCTGTCCTTGCTGGATGGTGCAACTTTCTCAGTGTAGCCTAACAGATCCTCAGGCTTAAATATTTTGTGTGTGTGCCTGCACACACACACATATGCATACTTAAGGTACAGAGAAATCGTATGAAAATTGTTTCATAAGTTACGCCATGAATTTTATTTACTTGCATATTTTCCCTTTTTTTGATCCTCTATTGGTGCCTCAAGCTTCCAACCCCTGAAATACAAAGGGGGAACATGCCTTCCTCAAATCATTACACCCTCTTCTGACATGACAACCAAGTCAGCTTTCCTTTAGAAACTGACTTGTCACTCTTAGTGCGGAGGAAACAGAACCACTCTGGCCCTGGAACCCGCATTCTGGTGCCCCTCTCTTCCCCACTGCCCTTTCCAGAGTACTGCCCAGTGTACTGCCCAGCGTACCGCCCTTCTATCCAGCATTTCTGTCCCTCGGCTATTTTTGGTTGGAGGTAGAGGACTGATGACTCCAATGTCCCCTCAATTTATGGGAAGTTCTGAGGAGCAGAACTGCGCCTTGTACTTTCTTCTCCTGCACCCAGGGCACTGAAAGTTCAAATTCAAAAAAGAAATCTTAATTCCCCCCAGTATGTCCAGGAATTGCTCATTATTAGCACCAAAAGGCCCATGCCCCTACAATTCAGTTCAGAGCACACTGCAATGACTGGTCAGCTTGATGTGACCTATTTTTACACCACAACTGTCACTTCCCAATTCTTGCCTTTTGTCTCCCACAAATATATTATAAAATTCTATTTAAAGCAAAATGTCTTTTTCTCTGTAATAAGTCAGAATTACTAACATCCAAGGAAAATTTACATTTCTATTGATAATTAAGTCTGAATGGGTCACTTTTCTTCAGCCACTAAAGCTCAGTAAAAATCCTCCAGGATTAAAGAAAGTCATTTAGAGATAAGCTCCTTATTCATGCAAGACACTGCTTCATGAGGAAATTATGCAAGCAAGCCCAACAAAGCCATTAAAATTGAACTGTTCTTAGAAATTTAACCTACACACTTTTTGTCTAAATTTGGTCTCTTTGG